CCTTTCCTTCTTTATTCATTTCGTCTAAAATCTGTAAGTTTGGTAAGGTCTCAAAAACGATTGATCTATAAGATTCTGAATTCTTCTCAGCTATTGGATTAAGTAATAATGAAAGTGTCTCTAACTTAGGAAGCTCCTTCAATACTATTAGTTCTGAAAAATCTTTAATCTTATTCCCTCCTAATAATAAACAACGAAGATTCTTATAATTCTGTAAAATATCAAGCCCACCAGAAATATGGTTGTCCTGAATCTCTAAAACTTTCAAGTTCTCTAGTAAAGGAAAGTTATCTAATCTTTGAAGACCTGTTGCGTTCAAACTTAAATATTGCAACTCTGAAAATCTACCAAGAAATTCACTATCTTGCTGTGTTAGCTCTCTAAGTTTTACTCCGTCTAAAACCAACTCTTTGACCTCTGAGTAATCTATGCTATTTATATTACTGTCCTGACTATTTGGAACTTCTTCGTCTGGTAAAACCAAATCCTGCTTTCTAAGACGATTCCTTATTGAAGCTTCCATTTTCTTCTACCAGCTTGGCCCCACCATTTAGGATGTAGCTTATGGGGGTTGGCGCGCAACTAATTCTACATTTACATATACTTTTACTATATTCTGGTAATATAATTTATTTATATTACCAACTAGTAAAATTTGGGCGGCAACTCCCCACACACTGCCGCCTTACTTTTAAAAAAAATGTAGGTAATATTCTTATTTGTATCCAAGGTCTAGAAATTAGGTTAAGCAATTATCAATGAAAGCAGTTACTGTATGTTTGAAATATCTCCAAATATGGTTGTTAATTATTCTTCTTATTTCATTATTTCCCTATCCATCCTTTGTATCTCTCCTATTACTAGATAGTATTAGCCTATTAGTGCAAAAGAAAGGAATTGGTGTAAAGAGCAACTATATAGAAAGAGAAAGGATTATACATAGATTGTAATGAAAAGCGAGGAAGGACCCCCTGAATCGCCGCAATACCGACACGATTTGTCAAGTTAAATACTTCTTATCAATATTAGTGTCTAATCACGAAAATATTGAATAATTGCCAGTTGTAAATATATACTCTGCCGCTATATTAATACATATATGTATATATTTTCAAAGAATTTTGTGCTCTGCATATATGCATGCAATTAACTAATTAAACCGTTTTGGCGGGAATATTACACATAAATTACTTTATTACTTACAAGCAATAACATTGAAATCACAGATTGTTGAAGAGAGAAATGAAGTAATTTTGATGAGGGTATAATGAGATTATGATAGCTAACCGCGTAAAATATGTGTTTTTACTTTAGGGCCAGAAACTATTAAACGGCTTTCAAACCCAACAATCTGTAATATTGCTTTACATTGTACTTGTCAATGAATTACTTTGGTATAGAACTGAAGAAAGGCTGTTTCTTGATACAAATATTAACTCCTTCCTCTAAGTACTCATCTCTTGATATCCAAAGATTCTCCTGATAATCTCTTAAAGCACTAAATAACTGAGCTCCTTTCCAAATAGCATAGTTACGATCGTCAGCAGGAGTAACTCTAATATTACTTTTAGCCTGGGAAGGGCAAATATACATTAACTCTTCTTCTAATCTCTCTTCAATACCTGTTGTAAGAGATGTACCTCCACTAAGTAATATAGAACCCATAAGTGTTTTCCTAACTTCCATAGGAGAAGACATAATGGATTCCATGATCAGTTCGTGAACTGGCTGTACATCTCTCATTATAAGTTTTGGGTCAAAAATAACCTCAGGAGCATAGAACCTTTCCTTGTCAATTTCAATCTTATTTGTATGTTCATCATGAAGTGTTAGTCCGTCAGGTAAAGTATATACCTCATTAATCTCTTCTTCAGGACGCTCATTTTCTGCTGCAGGGTCTTTTGCAATATAACATAAAGTTTCTTTAATAATTCTTACATGTTCTAAGTCATCCCTAGTTGTTGCAATATAACCCTTGTCAGATAAAAGCTTTTGTAGATACATAGTAATTTCTTGTCCGCCAATATCTGCCCTTCTGAGAGAGCTGGAATCACAATAACCATCATAAACTGGAACAACTTGTGTAACTCCTTCTCCAATATCACAAGCAACTCCTGTTGTTCTACCTGCACTATATAATGCCATTAATCCCTGTAAAGCTATATTTAAGCTTTGCGTCTGAAACATCTCAAACATTAACTCTGTAATTTTTTCTTCATGCCTGTTACTACATAAAGGAGGTTTTGTGATAATTACTGAGCTATCAATAGGATCAATATCCAAGCCTCTATAAAATAGATAATTTAATAACTCTTCAAACTTTGTCCAGTCATCAATATGGCCATGATCAATTGGAAATGTTAAAGATAACTTCTTTCTTTGCGCAATTGCTTCCTCTCCTACAAAAATAGGGTTATTATCCTCATCTTCTGGAACATATCTTGATCTATACTGGCCTACCATTGAAGGGAAAATGCATGTTGGACTTTTATCACTGTCAGTTCCTGCCTTCATATAAGCTGATCCACAGTCAATTACTATGCATTGTTCTCCATTTGCAGCTTGATCTCCTGAGAAAGACGACATTTTTTTTTTCAAATAAAGTTAAAATTTGATTACACAATTCTGTTTTAATTAAAACTGTTAATTTTTAATTAATTCTTTGGAATTTCTGAAAAAAAAAGTGGACTTGAATTATGTTATGTTGTCTATTCTCTACCTAAATTAGTAAATTAGCACCTCTGTTTAATTATTGAATTAACAATCGACACTAAAGAAAGGATTAAGAATCCTAATTTCCTTTACTTATCTTAAACCTTCCAATTTTCCTCTTTAAATCGCTCTAATTTACTTAATTTTCAGAATTTCAATTTTTCTCTCTTTTTCTAGGTCAACCCTTGACCCAGCTCATCTAGTTTACCAAGATAATTGCATGCACACGTGGCGTCGGGTGGCGCCTAAAATGATTTTTGTATTTATTGCATGCACTAAGTGGAAATAATAGGAAGAAATGAGATTGTTTTAATATGAATATTTTGTATTAAAGCTTTGCTTCAATCCTCAAAAACTCTAGATATGAGGTGCTATTGATTAAACCTATAAATACAGCTTCTTAGGTTAAGCAAGTAGTCTGTTAAACTAGAAAATACAAAAGATTTGTCGAGAATAGAAAAATAGTCAAAACAAGTAGAAAGTAGATAACAATTAATTTAAATGGAAATTAGGTTGAAAAACTAGTAATAAATATGAGGGGAAAAACATTTGAATAAAAAGGCATTGCTTTTCTTATATGAATTCTCCAAATTCCTAATTGAGAGAAGTCAATCTTCCGGGTATTCTCTATATTATAATTTTGATTATAAATAATACCCCAGTGAAAACAGTAGAGTCAAATTCTTTGGATTTTGTCAGCAATAACTGCTTGGTTAGTCTTTCTAAGCTGCTCCCTTTCAAATGTCTTATAATCAAATGTGCAATCATGAGCATCTGCATATCTGTGAGTACTACAGAAGTTGAAGCCACATCGGCAGTTAAATCCATAAATCCCAACCTTTTTATTACAATGGTAACATCTTCCTGGGATTGAAGGTTTTTCAGTGGGTGAGGATAATGAAGCCGAAGAAGATGCAGGTTCCGTAGTCAAATCTTGGGAGTCTTTCTCTTTTGTTGTTTCTATAGAAGTGATTTCTTGTTCAATTAGTGTAGGGCTACTTGATTCTTGTTTAAATTCTTTTGAAGTTTCTAAGAAACCGCATTCAGAATCTTTTGAGGGGCCTACTGAATCACTACTCTGAGGATGACTTACTGAGCTCTGATTACTGACACTGTTTCCTGAAATACTATCTTTATAACATTTGCTACAGAGGTTATTTGTTGTTGGATTTCCATAAAAGCCACAGTTATTTAAACATAATGAAGGAGAATGGGCTGGACTAGATGAGACTGGAGGCGTATTTGAATCCATTATGAATATTATTAATTTCTGTATTCAAAAAAAAAAATCTATATTTGCTATTAATTTAAGTCTTTTTTATTTTATATCAAATAAAAAGAGAATATTATTTTATATTCAAGTTTTGAAGTTATATAATGTCTGGCAAATACTTGAATTAATACCAACTGTTTCTAAAATACTTGAAAAAAATGCTTCAAATAAGTTGATATTTAATAAATCTATTTCCAATCGTCTTTGAATTAATTTTTGTTTTTTTATTTTTATTTTTATTTTTATTTTCCTCTCTAATTCCAGAAAATGTGAAAAGTCCAAAAAGGGGAATATTTTTCTTCCGTTTATTCAGAGAGGATTGTACCGCCTAAATATCAAACCCGACAAGCCATGCAGGTGGAGAAACTTGCGAGGGTAAAAATAATTATATACGTAAATATTTTTCACAAACTTAAAAATATATGAATAATTTATATTTAATAATTCCCATGAAATGGGAATATATTATAGCAAATACTGAATTATTTACTTAAAAAAATTATTTTCTATAGCAAGTATGAACTTAATCCATAATTTGCACTCGCACAAATTTACTATTAATTTTAGTGTGTAATTATTTTGCAAACTACTTTATTTATGAGGGGGGCAAGTTAAAGTACATGTAATAACATCAATACTAATTTCAATAATCACTTTTTTGCCCAAATAAAAAATTATCTACTTCTGTCCTTATTTTCTCTTTTTGTCAAGAACCTGCTGATATTTTCCTTATAAGAGACTTTATGAAGGTTCTAAAAAAAATCCAAAACCTAAAACTATTCACACTAATGTACTTAACTTTTTATACAAAATTTTTTTCTTAGCTTAAATAGCTAAAAATTTATAGAGGGGAAAATTAATATATTTAAAAAAAAAAAATTGAATAAAATTGGCTTTCCAGTTTGTCAACAGAGACTATTAATTTGTATTACCTCTAACTTATTAATATTAATTTGCTATTTAACAAAATGATTTCAAAAGACAAGGCGGGAAACACCGATCTGTTGGACAAAAACGCTGTCTATGGGGATCGAACCCATGACCACCAGCTTAAAAGGCTGGCGCTCTACCGTGCTGAGCTAAGACAGCTCACGTGAGTGGGTAGGGTTGAATTATAAGTTATTCTTAAAGTAAAATATTAATTTGTGGCGAAAATTTTTTTAATATTTGAACAAGAAAATAATGAACTATATCGAAACGAAAGCCATTTTAAGAAATTTTGTACTAATTTGATATTTTGTAACCCTTAGTAAGGTACTTTTGGGTGTGTTTTATTTTTACGTCAGTTTAATTAAAAAGTCGATATTTGAAAAATTTTGTCAAGTTAACGAACCCTTTAGAAATAAATAGGTGTTAGAATTTCAACCAGAAAGGTTTGAATTTTACCTGGAATTTTTTGGGATACTATTTTTTTAATAGCTAACCTGATTATAATAGAATTTCTATTATCGCATTTAGCCAAACTAGTTCACTAATAGAAGCAATAATAATAGTAATAATAATAATGATAAGACAGTAGCAAGTTTATCAACCAATCTAAAGTTTGCTTTCGCATTGCCTAAAAAAAAGTAATAATTAACAATTTGGGGAGTAATAGTCTGAATACCGGCTTGCATGCAAATGCCAGAAATAGTATGCAAGCCATGCAGAGTGGATAACATGCAAATGCCGGTAAATAAAATAAGCTTTCAAATACTGATAGCTCCCCCAATTTAAACCACTCAATAAAGTTTATTGCATGAATAAAGACAATAATACTAAATGGTGTTTTGAAAGTAAAACTTAGAACCGAATAAAGGTAAAATTCCATTAAAAAGCACAAATTAACAGAATTTGCAAAAACTTTATACTTTAGGTCAAAACAGGCTCTAGTCATTCAAGTTTTAAAGCTGTGGCTTAATATTAAATTTTTTAAAAATTGATCATTTAGGCGGGCAAATTATGGTGGAAAAGGTTTAATTTACAAGGAAATAGCTAGGTTACTTCGGAAAAGTAGAAGAAAATAAAGAATTGAAAAGACAAATTTCCGAAATAAGTTGAAAGTACAATAGAAGATTGAAGATAATTGCGCGAACTTTCTCTGAGAGAGTTACAGCCGGAATTTTTTTCGTCAGGTAGGAAGATAATAAGAAGCTAAATAGCTAAAGGTACAGAGGGCCTTTAAAAATAATAGTATATGGATAAAGAGGCTCAAATAAGGTTCGGTTGAATGAGAGAGTTAATGTAGTCTCTGAACTGATTTGACAAATCGTTCTTGGGACAACTTTTTTTATGAAAGGTAGAAAGAGAATTTGGCAGGTCTCATATAGAGATGCAGGAACGAAGGGAATGCTAGTTAAATGGGGATTAGTAGTGCTAATTTTTCAGCTATTTTTTTCCTTGCTTGTCAAGGCTGGTGATCTGGATTTGCCAAGCAGAAATAGTGAGTCTAGTAGAATTAGCCTACCAGAAATCTACTTTGTATTGACAGTGGATGGTACTTTATGGTCAATTGGAGAGAATGGAAAGATCTTGTGGAAAAGGAAGATCCTTGAGGAAGGTACATTTTATCCTAGTAGGGTCTTTTATGACCATGGGAACGATGAATCAAGCATTAAATCAACTCGTTTATACTGTTCTTTTCAAGGAAAGATTTTTTTTGGAACATCTTCTGAAAGCACTCAAGGTTTCCATAATACCCAAAACACCTATGAAAATATCTTTTCTGAAAAATCAGTTTTACCAGGAGGAGTTATACCAATAGAGGGTATCAGTATCGGAGATCTAGTCGAAAGGTGTCCGTTCCACTCCTCCCTCTTTCCTGGATTATATCTTACTGGTTCCAGAACATCTGATGTCCTAGCTATTGATCTATTTACTGGAAGAATTCTTTCAAACTCTGCCTCGTCCCAACAATGCGAAGCTTATGATCAAGAGGCATCCCTTAATCCAAAAATTCAAGTTAGCATTGCAATTGGAGTTACTACTTGGAAGATTCTTGCCCTAAACATCCCCACAAACAAGTTAGAATGGGATATCAGATACTCAGATGTTAATGGAATTAACTATAACAAATATTCTCAAAGCCTCCAGAATGTTCATCTATTGGAGTCTGGTCAAGCAGATCGAGAAATACCTATCTTCTTTGGTTCTTCACGAAATTCTCTATACTTGAAAAATATTTCATTGGGATTTAACAGTATTATTTCCAAAGTCTTTATTCTTAAAGAGGGGTTATCTCTCCCATATTTCCCTTCTAACTTCTACTATATTGAGCAGGTGCATGTCAGCCGTCTTCGTAACTACTCCAACTCTGCTGTTGGTCCTCTAATTGGAACTAACAACAACATTTTGCTAGATGACTTTGCTCATAGCAAATCTAAGCCTGTAAATTCTGAGATCAGTCATCTTATTGGTAGCAAGCTCAAAGGCCTTACTCCTATGGTTATTAACTCAAACAGGCCTGTTCCCAGACCTATGCTTCCTCTCCCAGGCAATAAGACTGAAACTTCTGAAGAAGAGGTAACTCTGCAAAACTTACACAACCAGACGGAAGCTGTAGGCTTAGGAACCAACTCAGAATCTCCTAAACCACCCGAGTTAGAGTCAGAGAATGGCTCCAATTCTATCCTATCTTCCCTTTCTATTCTGTATCACAGAAATCACCTCGCAATGACCACTGGAATAATACTTTTCATAGTCAACGTAATCCTGCTCTTCGTACTACTCTCTAAACGAAAACATACTGCAAGTGTAAACAATCAACAACAGAGCGGAAACCTCCGGAATTCATTCCTCGGCTCCTCATATGTCACTACTTTTAATTCTGAAGAAACAGAAACCGACTTCCCTCCTTCCCGTAGCTCAGGTGACAAGTACATGCGCCTCTCTAAAAGCTATTCCATGGTCGATATGCGTACGAACTTCATTGGAATCTCAAAGAATGCCTTCTTCAAAGCACTCAATAATAAAAATGATTCTATATCTAAAAGCCCCAATTACAACAATCACTTTGATAACTTAGGAGCAAGAACAAGCTTTGAAGATGACTCCAAGCTCACAATTGACTTGCCCAACTCAAGTATTACCGCCCATCTTGGAGCCTCCACAACGCGCGGTCAAGCTAATCTTAATGCAAGCAATGCAAATACCCCAACAAATCTCCAGGAAAGCCAAAATGCATTCACTCCAAAATCTGCTGCCAGTGGACCTAAGTCATCCTCTCTCTACAATATTCCTCCTCGTTGTGAGCTTGCAAGATGTATTGATAATGGCCGATTTTCTAAGAACTTCGAGATTGTGAAGCTTATAGGAAGTGGCGGGTTCGGTCAGGTTTATCAAGTCGAGCACAAACTGGAAAGAGGAACTTATTATGCAATCAAGTTCCTAAGATTAGGGATTGGAGCAAACGATGACATTACTAGAATTCGTTATTTTAGGGAAATTACTGCAAACCGTACTACTTTGAGTAAGCATGTGGTCAGATATTATACTTGGTGGTGCGAAGAACCAGAGGCCCTACAGAATTATGTAGATGGGATTGATAGTCTCGGCTGTTCCAAATCTGCATCCCACTCTTCTATTCAGCCGAAGGTTCTTGAGACTAGGAAACCAACAAAGAAGCATAAGAATCGTAAATCTGACTCTAGTGGTCTAAAAGGACGAAAGAAAAACTCGAAAAAAGAACTTGCAGATAACTCGGAGACTTTGGATCGGGGTCCAAACAAAATCAAAGCACGTTTCATTATTGATGAATTATCACAAGAAGATGAGGATCTTCTAATGGAAACCTCTTCTAATGACAGTATAGGACGTTTCTCATTAGAGTTTACACAAAAGAACCGAAAAGGACGCCGTAATGATGAATTTGGCTTTTATAACGAAGACGAACGTTCCCAGTCTAGTAACTCTGACTCCTGCTTTAGCAGGGCTCCTTTTGACCTAGATGGCGAAGATAATTACCAAGGTATTGAAGAATCCGCTTTTAATGGTGACTCACATATAAATGGAAATAGGTACGCTGATGGAAGTGAGGGTTTTGGTTTACATTCTGATGATAAATTAAGTATTGGATATAGTGAGAGATTTGGAAATCTGAGTTTAGCTTCAAACTCTTCTTTACAAGATGGGTTTGAGAACGACTCTCATGATCTAAACTTTATAGCTTTTGAGAATGAATCTCATGTTCTTGAGAAGTCTGAACTTGAGGAGTCTTCTCCAGAACATATCGAAGAAATACCAAATATATATATTGACGACGTTCACAATCAACCAAATGATAATGGATTATTGTACCGAACTAAGACTATTTCTACTAATACTCAAAACAATCACGAGCTCTTTGTATTATCGTCTGGAAACTTCCCACAAGTCAGTTCAATATCTTCCGTTACTGACAATAGCAAAAGCCTCAATAATAACAATCATAATCACCACCATAGATCTCTTGTATATCTTTCTCCAGCAAATCGTAAAGATAACGATCCAATTTATGAGGTAATTATGATGATACAAATGGAGCTCTGCATTGGAGTAACTTTACGATCCTGGCTTGGAGACGCAAGCAGAAGTACCGAATATGGTGGAACTGATGTTGAGCTTAATATGTTCAAACAAATTATTAAGGGTATCAGAGATATTCATGAGAAGGGAATAGTTCATCGTGATTTAAAACCAGAAAACATTTTTGTGAACCCAGACTCCCTCCAGATCAAAATTGGTGATTTTGGGCTTGCTAGATTAATGTTTGACGGTGACTCTAAGACTAATAATGGTAATAGTAATGTGATTAGTGGTGATACTCAATTAATGTCTCAACCACCCTCCTCTTTTACTCCTTCCTACAAACTTGAAAAAAATGGAGCTGCAGTTAACAATGATTTGAATAGATTTATGGACGAAAGAAGAAGACAAAGCCAAATGGAAGCTCAGATGAACAATCCTCTTTCGAGATTGGACTCCCAAATGAGTGTACGCGGTCAAGTAATTGGTACTCCTGGATATACTGCTCCAGAAGGAGGAGCTTTATGTAATGAAAAGGCAGATATATATTCGGCAGCCCTTATCCTACTCGAGCTCCTTTGCCCAAGATTCACTACAGCCATGGAAAG